GATTCTAAACGAAGTTTATCAAAGCAGAGTTTATCCATTGGAGGTGGTGAATACTGGATATGAATCTCAATATGAATTTCAAAATCTGGATATGAATTTGTATGGACTGATAGTCCTACTTTTTACTTGGCTAAGGGTACAGCATATATGCAGGATAGAAGAATCCTGTATATTTTGGCCACTACCAGCAATTTCACACAGAATATGAAATGTAAGTTTGAGGAGCAGGTTGCAAGCTTCTAGAAGTTCCCAGCTTCTCCTGAGGATCTACAGAGGTAGAATTATCTGAAAGGGAGCGGAAGTGAAAATGAAATCCTTTCCATAATAATTCTACTGCATTGGCCCCTTCTCTGACCATATTAGATCCTAGCTAGAAGCAGAAGGTCAGGTTTTGTCTCCAAGGCTTAGAGCTAACCCTTTCTGAAGACACAGGGACAGCAGTAATGGTGATAATGCTGTTTAAGCATTTGTCATGTTTGTCTTACTAGGTTCTTTATATGCAGTATCCAAGTTATAACTTCTACCCAAAGAGATTATTCAACTTATGCTTGAAGAACTGGAAATGATGTAACTTACTTCAGGTTACATAGTGACCATGTAACCAAGCTGGCTATGCAAACTCAAGCCTTTGAAGCTTCAGAGGCCATGCCTTGTCACACATCCTCAAGTGTGATGCTCCAACCCATGAACATCCTATCAGAACACTTGAAGGAAAAAACTGCTGCTTCAGTTTTTCACTTTGAGAAAAGTGATGTTAGAGAAGGCTGGATTCAAAAAGATATAAAGGAGATCTACCATTCCATGTACAAGTTTAGGGTCCTTTCTGCAATATAAACCAGAGTGGGGGAAAATTTGTGTTCAGTATCTAATTTTAAAGAGTTGCTATTGAGTTGTCTTAAATAAAATTTAGGACCCTACCATCACCTAGTACTGTAAAGAGCCTGGACTTTAGACAAGTGGGCTGAACTCCAATTTCCATCCGAGCCCTAGAGGACTCATCCCTACCCCAGGAATACCTTTGATTTCTACTTGGTGACCTTAGAATAGCTTCAAATACCAGGAAGGCCAGATGCAAGAAACAAGAGGACTTGGACACAAGGGATTAGGACTCAGTTAATGGGTCTATTCCTTCCCTCTGGACCAACTCTGGCATGCCAGGAACAGCTGTGCTTAAGTTTAGATTCTGTGCTCATCCTTCTGGGACAAAGCCTGCTATTAGTTTCTATATTGAGGGAAGTGGGGAGGCTCAGATCCCAGATGGAATTCCCCAGACACCTGAGCAGAGTGCTTATAAGTACAAGGTCTCTGAGGCATTTGTAGAGCTCCAGGCTTACTGACAGGACACAGCCCGGGTAAGAGGATCTTACGAAGAATGATATAGAGAAAGAATAGGGGTCACAGGGAAGAGTCCCCAGCTTATAAGGATGTACAGACCTTGGGGAGCCAACTTAGCTCGTGTTCCTGTAAGTCTAAGGCAAGACTCAGGAAAGGGATTCTCTGGGAAGGGGATTTAGAAAAGGTGGAGTCCACACAGAGCCACAAACAAGAAGTCTGATGAAGCCTCTAGTTCACTAATGCCAATTTTTACAAGACCCTTTAATACACAGCCATGTTCTTTAAATAGGCGCAATAATTTCTTATTCAGCAGAGCCATGTACTGTGCTAGCACATGACTTCTAGTAAAAGACAGGCAAGATCACCGCCCTTTTACAGCTTACTCTGTTTGGGGAAACATACATCAGAAGACAATTCAGAGAACTATTCAGGCAGTACAGAAATAGGGCGCCAAACCCAGAATCAAGGCAAGGTTCACTAAGTGTGTATCTAAGCTATGGCAAGGTGAGTATGTAAGGATTCACTAGGTGAGGGAGGAAGGAAGAATGTCATTTCAGTATCAGGAAAGAACATGAATTATTCTCAGAGGCAAAAGGACATGTTGCAGCTGGGAAACAAAAATGCAGTCTTATTGGAAGGTAGTAAGAAGGGTGAGAAACAGTAAAAACCATGACAGGTTTAGTGGATGTGTTTGGACACATCATTATGCTCACACCATCCCTGCACAGAAGCTGCAGTAGACTACTATATTTAAGGTATGAGAACTGCTCCTGACAAAGGAGGTATGAATTAAAGAGCTAGTCTCAGTGTTGGGGTCTTAGAGGAAAAGACAGGGGTCAAAAGTTTATCTCAAGAGTGGGTCCTCTCCATGTAAGCAGCTGAAGTACATCTCTCCAGTCAAGGATATCCTATTCAGTTTCATGATGTGCTCCCAGAAATGAATAGGAAGAGATGAAATGGAGGTGTCCATCAGGAAACAGGCCTGTATGTTGTCAGGTATGAGAAAGGAAAGTGAGAGAAGATAAATTCGAACTTCTCCAGAGTTTCAGGTCACTCCAGAGGACATCTGATGTGGCTGTAACAAGGTCTGTGACACCAGAGGCCTATTGGATTTCATGAGAAGTCACTTCCTCTCATGTCCACAATTCACCACGTACACACTTAGTCTCATCTGTGATTTGTGCCTTTAAGATTCTCCTACAACATCATCTCTGCACAAACCTAGAAGGGAGCCACTTGCCAGGGAAATAGCGAAGGGGTTCAAATTGCATTAGAAAGAAAGATGAACCCTGAAACAGCTTTCTCACCAATATAGGAGGAGTAATAGCTGTACTCAGGAATCATGGCAAAACAAAAATCTACTTGGTAGAGTCCTGCTAATTTTACCATTCAAGAGCTCTCCATTTCTGGAGTAGAACAAAACTTTTTCATATTACAGCTTTGCTTAGGATACCATTCAAGCTATAAAATCCATTTGATTCGACATAGAAGTAAAATAGACAAGACCCCTTTATTGTAAATCTTAGTATCAGAGGAAAGAGTATCTGGCCCAATTGCCTTGAGTTTATAGCTCCTTTGCCTTTAGAATTATTTCTGTGACTTGTCAACTTTCAGATTCTGTGCTCTACTGAGGAAGCAGTTTTCTTGTCAAGAGACAATACTGGGTAAAGATTATATACTGTTTGGATCTGGTCTGACATATTCATGAAAGAACAAGTGGCATAGTCAAAGGGCATTTGAAGGGACTATATGCAGAGACATAGGAAGAGTTAAGGAACTTGACAAGGGATGGGAGGCACTAGGACCAACAGTGGCACTTCTTAGCCCAGAGCTGACCAGGTAAAGCAGGGCATGGTTACCAGGACACAGAAAGGGTCACTTCAGGAGCTGGGGCCTTTGGCTGAAGACCAAGACACTGCCAAAAGGGAAGTGGCAGGCAGGAAGGGAACTAGACAGTAAGTCTCTGATCACTGGTTTTACCCTCTTATCTAACGTTAGTGCCTCACATTGACTGAGCCCCCCTGGAATCTAGAGGATAAGGGAATCTGGGTGATACAGCTTGTGAGTATAATACTTCTGGGACATAGAACAGGAATCTATGCAAATGGAGAACCAGCATATAGGTTAAGGAAGCCAAACCAGCCACCTTCCAACTAAACCCATCACCCTATTCTAGCTGATGGCCTCACAGGCCAGTTCCTGTGTACTCCTTTTCTTCCTAGCTCCAATGATTCAGCCTTTTTATCTTCCCTCTTCACAGCTACTGCAAACCTATGTCCACTTATAATCTTTGAGAATCTTAAGGTGAGCCCAGCTTAAGAAGCTTTATGGAATAATGTCAATAGGCTTACAGCAGTCATCCTCCCGAGCACTACAGCTTCCTGGAGATAGACATTCTAGAGTCCTTTGATGTTTGAACATTTTTGGCTTTGCATGTTAGTCTCAACAGAATAAAGAGCTAATGCTTAGTGTTACTGTCAGACGCTGCATTTTCATTTGGACATGACAACTTCTGTAGGCCACAGCCTTAAGTCTGTTGCAAATTGAGGTCAGTCGTATTTCACTAATGGGATAAAGCAGTTCACCTAAGCTCCCAATGCCAAGATCTGAAGACAGACCTAGAAAGGTCCTAAGCCCAGACAACCGACTATTCTACTGTAGTCAACATAACTAGGCTCAAGACGTAGAGTATTAAACTTCTCACAAGCTCCTCACTTCCTTTCACATTCCTCTGATCTCTAAGGAACAAATTCTGGTATGATCTTTTGGACAGAGAAAAAAAAAAAAAACCAAATCAGAGATAACACAAATTGTTTTCATGTATTTTCTTTAAATTGGTATCTTGTTAGTGAGTTGCCCTGGACTCTGAGTAAAGATGTTTCATCACCAAATGTTTGTATCCTAGGCTTCACACCACTCTGCACTGAGTATCTTCTTCCTCCCTGCTGATAACCCTGTTTCTGGAGTCTTATCTTCATATTCAGCCTTCAGAAAGGGAGGAGGCTCTTGCCAGGCTTTGCCTTTGGGCATCAAATATGCAGGAAGTGAGCTTTGATTAGATTTTATCTTTCAGAAATCACTTTGTTTCCACCCTCTGGAGGTCCCATTTTTTACCATCCCAAGCCGCTGCTTTGTGACTCTGGCCTACAAATTAGACACTTCAGCTCATCCAGTAGTCAATTTTGGTCCCAGGCTTAAGCTTTCATTTACCATTAGAGCCTAGATAGTTCCAGGACTCTCTGATCCTCTGATACTTCAATGCATCTCCTTTTCTTTCAAGGAACTCTGTACTCTAAAGCCTTCCAATATTATCTCAAGAGTCATCTCATAGCCTACATGCAGTGGTAAATAACCAAATAGATATTTGCTTTAGGTCAATTCATTCAGTGATGCAAGAATATCAACACCTTGAAGTCATACTGCAAAGAGATGTATTACATTCAAATGAGTGTTTTGGCTTGTGCTTGGTAAGATTGTGAATATTTTAGTATGATGTGACACTGACATTCTACAATTTCTTCTAAGGATGACTTATTATCTAACATCTAGTCAGTGATCCTATTCCCTATTATAGGGCCTTAGAGTAAAATATTTTCTTTTGTTTCCAGGAAAAACACCCTGCTGCCTTTAGTGGTACAAGTGAGAAGGTTCACATATAAATAACCATGCTCAATTTTCATAATGTCTGCTCAGTACCCAGCTCCTTCTGGCTCACTGGCATCCCAGGGCTGGAGTCCCTGCACATCTGGCTCTCCATCCCCTTTGGCTCCATGTACCTGGTGGCTGTGGTGGGGAATGTGACCATCCTGGCTGTGGTAAGGGTAGAGCGTAGCCTGCACCAGCCCATGTACTTTTTCCTGTGCATGTTGGCTGCCATTGACCTGGTTCTGTCTACTTCCACTATGCCTAAACTTCTTGGAATCTTCTGGTTTGGTGCTGGTGACATCGGCCTGGATGCCTGCTTGGGCCAAATGTTCCTTATCCACTGCTTTGCCACTGTTGAGTCGGGCATCTTCCTTGCCATGGCTTTTGATCGCTACGTGGCCATCTGCAACCCACTACGTCATAGCATGGTGCTCACTCATGCAGTGGTGGGTCGTTTGGGGTTGGTTTCCCTCTTCCGGGGGGTTCTCTACATTGGACCTCTGCCTCTGATGATCCGCCTGTGGCTGCCCCTTTATAAAGCCCATGTCATTTCCCACTCCTATTGTGAGCACATGGCTGTAGTTGCCTTGACTTGTGGTGACAGCAGGGTCAATAATATCTATGGGCTGAGCATTGGCTTTCTGGTGTTGATCCTGGACTCAGTGGCTATTGCTGCCTCCTATGTGATGATTTTCAGGGCCGTGATGGGGCTAGCCACTCCCGAGGCCAGGCTTAAAACCCTGGGGACATGCGGTTCACACATGTGTGCCATCCTGATCTTTTATGTTCCCATTGCCGTTTCTTCCCTGATTCATCGATTTGGTCGCTGTGTGCCTCCGCCAGTTCACACACTGCTGGCCAACTTCTATCTCCTCATTCCTCCAATCCTCAATCCCATTGTCTATGCTGTTCGCACCAAGCCGATCCGAGAGAGGCTTCTCCAAATCCTGAGGATAGAAAGGAAGATTAGCTGACTGCTATTTTCTTCTCAACTAAGCTCATGGAGAAGGTGTTTAAATATGGTAGGCTGCTTCCTGTTGGGAACTTTACAAACAGTTTGAGATATTAGGCCCTGTGGTCTCCAACTTTTGTAGTTCCAAAGGAATACTAAGAAAGTATACAACTCTAAATCCTAAAGGTGGAAAATATAAAACTTATGACTAAAAGATATTTGAGCTCAAAGAAGGTAAACCAACAGTAACAGCAACAAACTGCTAACATTTAGCATTGTGTCATGTAACTCTTGGAAATATCCTGACATGAAGTATTGTTTATATTTTATGAGGAAATAGGACAGAACACCCTTGCTCTATGAACTGCATACAGTTACTTAAGCTGCCTTGCTCCATGTTTTGGTTGGAGTTTGTAATACATTGTTACGTATTAATACTTTCTACTCTTTGTTTCCTGTATATCTTTTAAGAGGTAAATTCTAAAAACTAAATCATTTAATTGATGTTTCCTTAGCTACAAGATACTTCCCGAGTTTAGCTTCTAGTGATTGAGATGATCAAACTGCTGGTAATAATGTGTTCTAGAAGACTTATTTGTATGCCCAGAAGATTTGGGGATACTTATGAAAGAGAATGTGGCCCCCCAAAATTTGTCAGGTAAATGAAGGAAAATGAGACAAGATTACCATGTCTCAACATTGCCTTTGTTGTATTCTCTGCAGGCTTGAGACATATGAGGGCTCTGTGGAAATAAGCCTTCCTTTTCCCACAGAAACACTCCCAAACCCTGATCCATCTGTAGGATTCCTGCCGACAGTTCTACATCCTTAAAATGAATCAGCATAAATTGTGTTATACAATTTATAAAGACACTGACTTCATCCTGCAGATTAAATGTTAGCACAATAACTAGAATGTAGTTAATGTGAATAAAGTATTTAGTTACTATTGACAGAGCTGACATAGTCCTCACTTCCACACTGTAAGGTAAGAATTACTCCATTTTGCAAATGAAGCAATTGAGTTCCCAGAAGTGATGTAAGTGATATAATTGCCCAAGGTCACTCAGTGAACAACAATGAAACCAGGGATTCAGCCAAGTTTTTAAAGCTCAAAAGCTTCCAGCCTCTGATCTACATTTTCCTTAACTAAGGAAAGGTGCTGAAAATTTCCTGGAGGTCTGAGTTTTCATGCACTTAAAGTTCCCAACACAGCAGACATTAGCTACATTCATTATTTCTGAAGCCAGATCCAAAAGAAGTCTTCTTTATAGTGCTGCTTCCAAAGGAAGGACAAAATGTAAAATTAGTGAACAGACCTAGATTTACAACTCCATACAGTCACGACATTTTTGAATACACTAGTCTTTAGGTATATACCAAATCATGTAATTGGGCATGACAGAAAGGAGTAGTCAGGTGCAAAGGAAAGAGTTTTGCATGAAACTATAGAAACTGCTTTCTAGTTTCTCTTTGGTTAGTCCAAAGAATGGAAACCACTCCACTATTGAGGTACCTGGAATGTGTAATCATTTAGGGATCCAATTACATGCATCTCTAACTTCCATCCTCTCACACCGTAGTGAGCTTTCCTTAAACTTTCGACCGAGTTTAGAGAATGAGTGTTCTCCCTATGAATGGAGAACAATCATAAGATGCGTCTTCTGCTTTACCTATCCCGCCATGGTTGGGAACCAGAGGAAGACTTTTGGAATCAGTGCAAAGTATGTGCTCACAAGCTGTCTACAGAGCAGGGGTGAAAGGGCAAATCACAGTGACCCAGAATGACCTCTGATGAAATTTTAAAATGTCATCTAGTAAGGTTAAACTAAGAAATCTCGCTGTTCTCCCACCGCACATTTTTTTTTTCTTCTTCCTGGAGGAAAGTATACTGGAAGAAAGTAGACATAAGTTGGAACCCGATTTATGGAATTTCAAGAAATTCAGCCTATCATGTGAAAGAATCATGTCTTCATTCTCCAATAGTTGTGCAGTCTGTGTCAGATTATAAAATACCATGTTCCTGTAATTCTAGCTTTCGTATATTGTTATACAGAAGTTGTGAAATCTAAATATAGCCAAAGGACATTATGTTTGTCACCTAAAGTGAAATAACTTATGAAACATATAAGAAGCCATGAAAATTATTGTGGCAACCTTTAATTGTATCTTCCATATCTTCTACAGTGAATGCAGTTGACTGACAGTTTTAACTGCTACCATCTAAACTATCACCATGCTTCTACTGAGGCCACATTTCCCAGAAGCTGTTCCCAGTGATCCAGCATGATAGGGACCTAGAATAGGCCCACCTGGGACTGTACACTTCTGACAGGGAACTATGACTCCAAGACTCTCACATGGAACTTCTAAAAGTTTCAGCAAGGCCAAGTTTAGTGATAATTCCTTAGCATCTCTCAATCCTTTACAGAAGTCAGGCTGGCATTTACCATTAGTTCTCCCAACCTCCTCCGGCTCCCTGCCTGATTCTCCTTCGCAAGCATATTCTTCAGTAAAATACTAAGATGAGATTAGGCCCAAGATCTTAGAGTTTATTGGTTTCTTCTAAGTTACACTGGTGCCCCTGCAGAATAATGAAGTGGAGAGCTCTTAAACAATTAATGGATAAGGCGTGAGAACGTAAGGTTCTCCTTCTAAGCAACCAGAGAAAGTCCCCTGCAATGATGCACAGCTGAAAAGCAGACTAAAGACAATTGTTACAAGCACACAGAAATGTTTGAGAGCTCAGGAAAGTGTTATTCTAAAGTCAGAGCCATATTTAGGAAAACCTGAGACACTGAAACATGGCATGGGAAGGGATGCCCTTGAGGATGTTGAAACTGTAGATACCCTAAATGCTTTGGGCTTTCAGTGGTAATGACTTTTCTCTAGTAAAAAGTAACACTTTGGTGCAGCAACAGGTATTCCCTCAGGAGCTGCTCTCACTTCTTCTGGCTGCCAGGGTAATACATAGGGTTAAGGACAGAGTATTCTTGCTGAGAACAGGCAGGGCTGGATAAAGAAGTAACTGTACAATAGAATTGTTTTTAGAGTTAACTAACATATGTTCCTTAGCAAAGGCCCCACCCTCAAGCCTGGAAACCCACAGCCCTAAGTGGGAACAGGCATTCCTATTTTTGCATCAAAAGTTGCCTTTTGACCTGCCATACCCCCTCTATCCTGTACCCTTATAAACCCCAGACCCCACAAGCAGGTGAGGAGATGAACAGAAGAGCAGAAGAATGGCACAACAGCATAGCAGCAAGAAGAGAAGAAGCATCTGAACACCAAGAGGGTCTGGCTGGAGGTGGTCAGAGAAGAGATTGGCCACTGGGTGGCCAGACTCCAGGGGAAGATTGTGTTCCCATTCCATCCCCTTTCTAGCTTCCCACCCATCCCACTGAGCATACTGTAACACACGCTCACTTGGGCTTCAGGAGTCGCAGGCTTCCACCTCGGACACTGCTGTGGGGCTGGAGCCAAGGGGTGCTTGCCCGACTCCTGTCCATCTGTGTTCTTTCTCTCCCAAAAGGGGTTTGAACACACACAGCATCCAAACAGATGAGCAACAGCCTTGTCACATGTCCTGCAATGGGGGTCAGGGAACTCTTTCATCTGGGGGCTTGTTTGGGATAAAAAAAAACAACAAGTAAAACACAGAACTGTCAGATCTGTCTTTTCCATAACCCTGCCAACTCTTCCCTGTAATCAATAGGAATACTGACTCCGTTTCCCTTCACAGAGGTCTGGCTGTCACATGGGACTGGAGTAAACCCTTGGGGCAACCAAAGTCATCTTTTGCTGGAAGACTCCAAGACTGAACTCCATTGGCTAGGAACCCCAGACTTTGTTATATCTTTTTCACAGTTTGAAATTGCTCCTCTCTCTTCTTTTATAATGTTAACAGTTTTGCTACAGCTGTGGCAATGATGGCATTTGGCTCAGCCAAAGGTGTAGTTCAGAACCATGTAGCCTGTTCTTAGAAGTGCCATCCCCAGCCCCATCTCAACAGCCGCAGGTACAGGTGGTGCATGATGCCTTCCCTCCCAGCTCAAGTGCCTTTGTGTGTCCTGCAGCACGCACAAGCCACATCCAATGCCCACAAAGGGTGGGAGAAAACTGCAGCTGCTGCTGGGGTCCTGCATGGAGGTTCTTCCCACCAGACCTCCCCCTTTTGCCCCTAAGCTGTGTTTTTTCCCTTCCCCATTTTCTTTTTTTTCCCCTTCTCTAAGTGAGAGGGCTCCTTTCCCCAGCATTCTGCTTATGCTAGAAAAAGTGGAGTGACTCCTGCAGGCTAGTAACTGCAAATTTCACAAGGCCCATTTGAGACTTCAACAGATAAATGCAGATCCTGAAATAATTTTGTCCCCAACTCAATTCCAGGCTTCAGGTTGAGGCCCTAGAAAGGAAAACCAGATCTGAGGAATCCAAAGCCAGGCGACAGGCACAATGTAAACAGGCAGAACAAATGCCTGCCGACTAAACCCCTGCATCAGGGAAGGAGGCCGTGTTTCATGGCATAAAGGCCCAGGAAACTCAAAGGTTGCCGACAGTAGGGAAAATAAAGGCACAGGTAAGGGTGGCTAATTCTTACTCTCCAGGTGCCCCTGCTTCCTGGGTGCAAATTGCAATGGCAGCCATCTGTCTAGGGTCACTGGGACTTGGGAACAACAACAATAAAAAAAAAGGGAATGCCTTTCTTTCATCCTCACACCACAAGTTTTTGGTGAAAGAGGGAAATGAGCAATGCCTCTGTTTTCCTTTCTCTCTGAATGGGCAACCAGCTCTCTTCACCATCCCTAGCTTATACTCCTCTAGAGTGTATCCTGAACCATTGGGACTGCTTTAACCCTCAATATCTGAAGGAAAAATCCTCATAGCCCTCTGTACATAGGTTTGGCCAAATTATAAAGGACTGGCTTGGGCTCAGGAGTCATTTATTTCAATACTATTGGGCAGTTGGACCTTTTTATACAGGCAAGAGAACAGGTGGTCTGAGGCCCCATATGTACAGCCTTTCTATACATTTCAGAGCAATCCAGAGCTTTGCCAATAGTGCAGGGTTAATGCGGCCCTCCTGTTTGCCGTATCAGGAAAGGATGCAAGGGGCAATCCCAGGCAACTGAAAAAATAAATTCCAGAGGCACTCCTAGCAGAGAAGCCAGCTCTCTCCAGCCCTGCTTCACAGGTTCATGCCAACTTCCCCATCCAGCTTTAGTTTCTCCTGCCACCTCCTAGAAATCATCAGATTAGATAAGCCCCAGTCTCACTCTTGCCCCTCCAACAGATGCCTGGTGAATTTGGCCCCAGTAAGGTCCAGGTTCTCTTCTCTCTACAGAACTTAAAGCAAATTAAGGGGATCTTGGCAAGTTTTCAGGTAACCCTGACATTATATATATGCATATTATATATATTATATATGAAAGAGTCTTTTTAGAATTTAACCCAAATATTTAAGGTCTCCTGAAAAAAAATGTTAACTTGAAATCAAACCCTGATGGGCTCTGAGAAACAAGCTGCTCTTCAAGTGGCAGAAAAAGCTGGGGATGAGCTTTGTATCACATAGCATCGGGTGGTGGGGGAGCAAACTTTATCCAACTGGAAGAAAAGCGGTACCAGCAAATGTCCCTGGATGGGATACCAATGATGAGATGGGAGACTGGAAGAGGAGACATTTTCAGGTATGCATACTGGCAGGCTTATGTAGAATTAGGACCAAGCCTCGATTTTAGATAGACCAGGAATTTAATGAAGTAGATAGACCATGACAGACAACGAGTTTAGTAAAAATCTTACTGCCTTCTTGGAAAGGCTAGAAAGGTCCTTGGTAAAGCACAGCTCTCCATCTCCCAATTCAGTGGAGGAACAACTAATTATGAAGGATAAATTACTCAGGCAGTCCCTGAAATCAGAAGGACATTGCAACAATGGGCCCTGGAACCAG